GGGGGGGGGGGGTTGTGTCAGATTTTGGTATCGGGGATCCCTGTCTCTCCATGGGGGGGGGGGGGGGGGGGGTTGTGTCAGATTTTGGTATCGGGGATCCCTGTCTCTCCATGTGCACCGGGAGGATTCGTATTACTTACTTACTTCCCAGGGTTTGCTGTGAGGCCGACCTAATACGAGGTGTCTCGAGTCTCTGGGCCGCAGGGGGAAAGTGATGGGCTGATTTGGCTGGGACTGGGCGAGTCTATTGGCGTGGCCGCTAAATTTAGGATGGTGGTGTGCTGGGATAAGATAAAGGGACTGTCGGTATCGTCTAATTGTTCCTATCTAAGGGTCGTGGGGCAGGAAGTATAGTAGCACGACGGCTTTTTGGTTTCTGTCATATTAGCTTGGTGTTTTTTTAATAATGCTTGGCGAAGGTTAAAACTTCCAAAATGGCATTCATGATTACACGGTGTAAACAATTATAGAAACAACCTGTCACGTCCATAGAACTAGTACTACTAGTACTCTGTAGGCAAGCATGTACGCACATACCATAATACACTGCACGCACGGAAGAAGGTACTTACTTAGAGAAGACCCGGGAAATCGAGGCCGACATCCACCTCCGTTCTCCACTTCCGAGAACCTCGCATACTCCGTAGCAGGTCGTCGCTAGTGTCAGATCCAGACCATGTGCTCCGTTTCCAGGGGTACATAACCACCAGAATCGACATGAATACATGACAAATACGGTACCTATGTGCAACCGCCAGAGCTTTTGGCCCCCACGCCGGGTCGCGATCAACGAATGCAAGGGAGCATCTGGTGTAACCCACGAGGGAGCCAGGGACAGGGTTGATATCCTGCTTTTCTCGTGGCCGTCAGGGAAGATGACCTCAAACAAGCGCCGACGTGAAGAGAATCGGGTAATCGAGGCTATAGATAGTAGCAGTGTGTGTGAATCGGTTTCATGGTGTGGACGGTGCTATCGTTGGTGGAATGCTGCGTGGTTGCAGATAATCCTTGTCAAGGTGCGCGCTTACGGAGTACTACTTTGGATATTCTTAGTAGTCGGTCGCCAGTAGGATCTCTGAACAAAGGGCTGCTAATTGGGATGAATCAGACCATGAAACGGGGTTGAAACGTGGGGCGATTGCTTTTTTTGAGGGTAAATTTCCCAAGTCTGGAGGTGGAGGTCCATGTTGATGTTAATTAAGTTATTCTTAGGTATTACTGGGTTCGGTAGGAGACAGTTGACACCTCTTCGCTCGAAGGTTCTCTACCTGTCAAGTGTCAAAGGGATCCATCTCTCGGTTCGACGGGGGAAGCTGTCAGGAACTTAATTCCAGTAACTCATTCTCGGTTTTCCCCTTTTCTCCATTTTGTTTGACCTATCTCAAATACTACCTTCATCTGGATCGACCTTCTGTCAAATGAAGCAGGTTCGCTAAATGCCAATAGACTCGTAAATTAATATAAAATAATAGGGAGGAGACGAATGGCCTTCGAGGACTGGTCGAATCCGTGGGCCAGGAAGAATTCCAAATCAGGCTTCAAACCGCGGCATGTCAGAATCGGGCCGGGGTCCACGTTCCCCCTGATCCGACCCCGTCTCTTTTTACCCCATCCGTCCAAACCCTCGAGAAAAACAGGACAAAAGCAAAACAGAAAACTATAACTAAAAAAAAAAAAAAAGGTATTAGTTCAAAAAATATTATTATCATAATAATAATCAAATACATTAATCCATACCAAAGCAGACTAGGGTGGCCTAAGGGCTCGGATCCATGGGACACCAAGCTAACCGATCTAGTGCCCGGACGGTCACATATCGTCCCAAGCCGGGGAAAAGATTAGCGCAAATAGTGATTCCCAAGCGTCCCCTCTCCCTGGGACTTGGAATCATAGGGGGGATTCCAGATTGGTTGAGTGGAGAGTGCTGACTAGATAATATGGGTCTACCACTCGATGTAGTCGTACACACGAGCATTGAGAGTTGACAGTTCGTTCTAGACATGGCGATCGGCAATATCTTTCCCAGGCTGTTGGGATGGACATCGGCTGCTTCCCTCCATATCGGTGATCATGCCGGAGATGTCTTCTTCTCTCCATTCTGCGTGTCGAGAAAAGACAAAGTAATACACCCACAGACCAAGCCGAGGTGGCTCCGCGATCTCGGCTCCATTTCTGTATTGGTTTTTTTTTTTTTTTTTTTTTTTTTTTTTTTTTTTTTTTTTTTTTTTTTTTTTTTTTTTTTTTTTTTTTTTTGTATATTCTTCATTTTTTGGCCTTTTCCTCTCCCCTCATGTGCCACTGTATGTACATACAGTACCAGGGTCGGAGTCGGTTGGAAACGGCTAATGCACGCTGTAATGCACTGCATATGTACAGTACGTCGTCGTGCATAATACTCGCCACAGGTCCAAGTGCTAGAACAGACACACAAATTCAAGTGGATAGAGACAGGCCTGCGGCAGTCGCGGAATAAACGCATATTCTCCATTCTCCCGCTTACCGAGATAACGTATTCTCGATTAGGCAAGTAGTGGCTGTCTGGAACCGTGAGATCCATGGCTGACCCCTTGCGTTGATGCGGAAGATTTGCGTTCCTTGTAGCCTATAAGCGTTAGTAATGGAGGAGGGTGACTGCGGAACTTGAAGTCCGTTCCGCGTCTCCTGCACTATTGCCTCGACTGTGGGAGGCATCTCGGCAGGAAGAAAGCGGAGATACATAGATACGTACATAGTGGAGTGTGACGGTAAAGTACATGTGCTCAGGATATGCATACAGGGTCGTCTGTGGCGACTTATGCATGGTTGCGTCAAGTTTAGTTAGTATTACTACTTGTAGTATATCGAGATGTGGCTGGGTTCTCGTGACAAGCGCCAACACGATTAACTACCGAATCTATGCAAGAAAGGGGGGAGAAGGGAGGAATGAGTAATGAAAACCGATTATCCTTTTCGTTGCATGCAATCCTTCGTACAGCTAAGCTGCAGATAGATCTACAAGTGCTATGTATGCACCATGCATCTATTCCAGAGCGGATATTGCGGGCCAGCGTACGACCGGGGTACTTCTTGGTCGATGCAAGGATAGAGCAATAGCCAAGTCCAGATCCTTCGACAAGAAGCTATGAATCTTATCATGCAGGGGTAAAAGAGTTTTCTTAATCAACGAGGGTACGACCCCAAAATTCAAATATGGTTTCACGCACCCGATAAACTCGGACGGATTAAGTCGTCGTCAGATCACGATGGGACAAAATTAGAGACAGCATCGACACTGTCCTTGGTGAGAGTTCGACCGTATATACATAAGCGTAGTTAGCAGAAGTTACTCCAAGGGCGATCGTCATCTGCAAGTTCTGATTCAGGTTGACGGCCAACACTTGTCCGGATTTAGTCATGTGCAACAGGTCGTGTATGCAGGGCGAACCAACGTACATACAGCACATACGCCATGAGCAGACGCTGGTCCTTTCCAAGAAATGAGTGGCCTTGGCTACGACGGACTAACACTGGCGTCATGCGGGATTCTTTGGCCTACAGCAGGAGATAATATCGAAAGTTGCCTTTAAATTTACGAGTATGCTCAATGAATAGAATATGGTCATGCATGTACGACCACAGTGAAACTAGTCACAAACCCCGTCCCAATAATCGCAGCGAACTAAAAACCATGGATCTCCTGAGACACACTCCTGTCGAACGCAAATATCAGAGGTGGAAAGCATTCCCAACCTGCATGACGAACATCTCCGATCTTAGTGCAACCAGATCTTGTTCATATTTCTTTTTGCGTAATCACCCAATCGACGACAGGAAACCCAGCACAGTCGATCATCCCGAGGTTCAGTGTCCGCCAGATCTCCCGGATTTGCCACCAGCTTGGGCAGGACGCTAGCTGGATGCACGCTTTTCACTGGACAACAACGTCGACACTAGTGATGCTGCTTGCTTAATCAATCGGCACTATCCGGGCGGAATCTCAATTCCCCTCCCCCGTCTGCCGCCTGTCACTCAATAGGCCCATTATCTGTTCCTCGAGCGTAGACTGCAAAAAAAGTACTGGTTCCTAAGACTGACATGTGCGATCTCTATCAATTTGGGGTTAGCCGAAGCAACCCCACCATACTCGATCGGTCGGAAATGGCTTCCGGTGAGGATTGATAGAGATCTCACATTATCTACACCAAACGAGACGATTTCTGATTCCACCGCGGTCTAACTTGATCTATCTGTGACAGGGAGGGCCTATATCCCCTTCTCATTATTCTTCTGAGCTGAAGCGTCCTGCGCGGCACACCTGGCTTCTGTGCCCGCAGGAGTAATATATAAGGTGGCAATGTATGCTGCGGTCTTGGAAGTGCATACATAAGTATGTCTTCTTGCGACAGCTGAAACTACTACCAATATGTATGTACGTCCGTTAGTATTGTACATGGGTATATCCCACAGTCCGGTCTAGAATACGTGATACCCTCAATCCCGTTCAACTAAACGGGCCACAATATACCTACGCCATGACACCAGACAAACACCACCCTCCCCACACAGACCACCGCTAATATAGTGCGAGAGTACCTTGTTGCAAGAAATACTACCTGCCCAAAGGGGTAATATGACGAGATTCACCACAGGGCAACCCGTATGCTACTTTAATCCACCCCGATCGTCCAGCCACAATCGAACGAAACCAAGCGTACCAAACTTCCGCGCAAAAGAACGCTAAAATCGAACCCATCATCAGAGGGCAGGCAATGGCAATCCGAAACCCCAATTCCATGACACCACCAAACCAGTGGGCCTGAGCCAGAACAGCAAATACGCTAACTAAAATCTTAGTCTGTGTGGCTCAGCGTGACTAGAAGTGGATAGATCAGGATCCAGTAACCCGATCAGGAAATCCATGTGGCTCAGTTCAATCTACACGGGAAAATCGGGCCGCGGAAATACCAAGTCAGTGACGACACTAACTCAGTTTTCCTCAGGGACCCGATGACGGCATGGAACCTTTGCCGTTCTTGTCCGAGATCTGATTTCCCCACCGAGAGATTCAGGAACTTTTTTTTTTTTTTTTCCTTTCTTTTTTTTCTTTAGTGTCCCCGGTTTCGCACATGGAGGGCAGTGTCATCCGTCAGAACGATAGTTTCGGCTTCCCCGAATTTAGGGGCATTGTTTTTTTGATCTTTAATTATTTCTTCAATTAATTATTTGGAAAATATGGAGATGAGGTCATTCCAGTTAGCTTGCAATCGGCTTTACCGTCAGTTGATATGACAGGGGTCATATGACGGATTCTAAATCACCGCGTAGAAATTAAAAATAAATGAAGAAGGGGGGAAAAAGTACACAGTAACTCGCATATCCTCCATGGACACAGGGTGGGAAAATTTCACTCCGTTGCACATAAGCATCGCGGGTCCAGACGTCTGACGAAACGCAGGTTGCCAAGCCAAGCCTTCAACGAATTTTCGCTGTGGCTTACGTGAAGCCGGCAATATGTTAGTCAGTTTGTACATACAATGCCGATAAAGAGAATCTTTCCCTATGGTGAAGTGTTTTTTCAGAGTTCGACGCCAGAGCCAGTGGTTGGGGCTCCTAGATCTGATTTGCAGGGCAGAAGGATCAGTACCCTTGTGGGTAGCCAACAGGAGGACGAGATTGAGGTTCGTGGTTGTAAGTCCGGGGAGGAAGTTTCGCGGGTTCGTTCCGCCATTATGGATCCCCCGAGAATCCTTTTGTTTATGTTTAACTCTTTGAGTCTGGTTTTTTTTTCCTGTAGGTTTTTTGTCTGCTGGAGTGTATACACTCCGTAGATTGAGAGGACATGACTATGACCTCTCGGGTTGGCATGATATGATATGTAGAAAACAACCCCAATCATCAAGTGACAGCCATAGAGAAACTTGAACTAGACGAAAGTATATCTCATCGCTCCAATGGATTTTCGTTTCGCCGTCGCAGATCGGGACAGCGAGGCGTGCAGCTGTCAAAACCATGAGGCGCAGTTTGAGTTCCTCCTGCGTGTGCATAACACCGACTCAGCGACCACAGAGTTGAGCACTACCTGTCAGACTGTATGGTTACCGTTGATCGCTCTCCGCAACTCTCTTCGCACCGCATGCCGACTATCGCGTGGGCGGCGTTTGAAGATACGAGGCATGAGACCTGAGGGAGGGCGCCGCAGAGGAGATGTGATTGGATCGACATGGTCGCCGAACAGTATCCAATGCCCGAAGCTATTCGCGGCCAACATATTTAGTTCCAGAGTAGTAGTTCCTAAATTACTAGCTAGCTAGCTAGCTAGTTAGTTAGTTCGTCGGATGGACATTTGTCAACCAGTCAGTGCACCACTGGCATTGCCTAATCGGGCGTCCAGTCATGTAATGATGCCGGCAAGCAATCAACATTCTACCCCCTCCCCAGTCCATATACTCAGTACTAGTAACTGACTTATGGACTACTGACTAGTCCGGCTGCGACGGCGCCAGATTGTCCACGACGGCGCAATTGCCCAATCCGACGCGTGGCGAAATGCGCTGCACCATGCAATTACCCCTCATCGACATTATCTAGGAAGAGGGAGAAGAAAAAGCAAAGAGAGAGAGAGAAAAAAAAAAAAAAAAAAAAAAAAAAAAAAA